CATTCCTGAGCTGACTTTTCAGTGACTCCCCCAATCTCATCTGATCATGTCAAAAGCCAAAATTTATCTCTGAAACTTAAAAACATAAGTTGCACAAATAAACTGAATTCACTAACAACAGTTTCTGCAGCTACAGACTTGTATTCAATTGGCATAATATATCTAACATGTAGAGGGCAATACTAAATGAAGCCCTCAAGCTGTTAAAGTTGTGCATTATTAGGCTTTTCCTCTTAGTTTTGCAGTCCAACAAGATTGACGGTTTTGGATAAACTGCACTTTAAGGGATGATGGAAAGCATTGGTGATAAGTGCTGGTAAGAAATGTAAGAACATCTTTACATTTAAGTCAGGAAGCAAGAAATCTTGTACAGTGTCTGCACAAACCGGCACAGGTGAATGAGCACCGAATTGACTCACCTGGAAGGTTCGTGGTTGTTTTGTTCTGGACACAAGCAATTTATCTGCAAAGTTAAAACCCATTAATTACCAGCTGCTTGATGTGACAAGCAGAATTTCAGTTGGGAAACAATTTGAAGATTCTTTGTAGTCTGAAAGGCAATATTGTATAACATATGCTCTCATAGATTAATTCATCTTAATTATCAACTTCATTTTTTCTTAATTGTATATTTAAATTATCCTCTAGACCCGAGTCTTTTGCAGCATGTCAGAAGTCTTTTTTAATATCATCTGGAGATGGTGCTGAAGTGCTACTGAAATCTAAGAAAACTATCTTCACACGTGTTTATGACCTGTACATCTATGTATTGATTACAAGGGTATTTCATTGTATTGGTTGTTCTTAACATGTCAAGTCAAATATGTCAAGAGGCAAAATGAATAGTGGTTTTGACTGCGAGAACTCCATCCACCTAGATTAGAACTTTTATTCTTTTTCTTGATATCCAAGAAGTAGGTTTTTTTTCCTCTGATGTAGATTTATTTTGCTCTTGGTACAATACGCAGAAATGCTGTTGAAATCTACTCAGAGATGACTGCTAGTGTATTTTAGTATATTAGTACTATTAGCAGTATTGTAAGCCAAATGTTTAGGATAATATCTTCCTGTAAATGCACTGATCTTTATTCCACAATAAGAATTGCCAGCAAATCAGTTTTCAAGTAAAAATCAAAAGTTCAAAAAGCTCATTTCAAGCTATAGACCTGGCATCAAAGGCCTGCACTAGAGCAAAGACCATTGAATGTAGCTAAACTGCATCTCTCTTGTAAGAAAAAATGATTCTAGTAACTTGATTCAGACATTCACCACTACCCCTCTTTAAGCCAGATCAGCCAAATCATTAAGTTTCTTCATAAATACATAAAGAGTCTCTTTGAATAGACTGGAGTATAAGAGCTTTATTTTGATGTGTCCTTTATCATAATCGATGATAATATCATATGTTCATGATAAAGGACAAGCAGTATTGCAAAAGGTTATGAGATGTTCCTTTTGATATATACAGACTTTATGATTTAATAGTAAAGGGCTCCTCATGTCTCTGACTGATAAAATACAAAAAAAAAGGGCAAAAATAGCTATAAAGCAAGGTCTTTTATTCTTCTCTAGTACACAAAAGTGTTACAATTACCAAACTTACATATATAAAAATTGAAGAGAAATCCTAATCCACTCATTCTTTCCTGTGCTTAGATTCTTCTGGATCTGCTGTTTGCCTCGCAAGCCCACTGTTGCACCACAATCTATTTGACTATGCTATTGTGTAGACCATAGGTTCCCTTATGAATCAGGCACTAGCATGTCACTGAGCCCTGGCACTGAGTCTTTGAGTCATGTCACAGCCCTGGCATTAACCTACTGCAAGCTTTCCACCTTTTTCCATTGCACGTTGCAAATAAAGAGACAAAAGAACAATGTTATTTCGCCCTGTACTTACAAAAGGATTTTCTACTCCTATTTCGTACCTGGCAGGTCTCCAGATATCATTTACTTATTTATTTATTTACATTTGACCAAAGCTCAAAGTTTTGGGGCATGAATCACCAGGAACTTCAGTGGAAATTTTTATGCTATAGAGGTTTGCTTTCATTAGTCATAAGATGCACCTCATTACATCAGTTCATACTCAAAATATATCTGTACAATGAGGAATTTAGGTAGAAAAAAAAACATATAGTTTTGAGAAATATTTTATAGGGGGGAAAGCTCATTTTAAATTATTTCTTTACATGTTAACAATATGTGTTTTCAGGGAAGTGGCATCAAGGTGTTAACTGTGAATCCTACAATGACCATTGTCATCACCCTTTAAACCACGGGTTTGGTTATTTTTATGGCATGCCTTTTACACTAATAAGTGACTGCGTAACAACAGAACCTCCAGAGATGGACAGAGAATTTCGAAGGAAACTCTGGCTTTACACACAAATGATGGGTCTTGCTACACTCACTTTTGCCCTAGCAAGACTTACAGGCTTGATTCCAGTCAGCTGGAAAACAGTGACCTGCCTTGCTGTGTTTAGTCTCCTATTCTTTGCATCCTGGTTCTCAAGTTATGGATTTATAAGATACTGGAACTGCATTATGATGAGAAACCATGAAGTTACTGAACAGCCAATGGTGACAGAGAGGACTACGTCCCTGATTGTGAGAGAGTCCATTTCATTTATTGGAAGGTAAAGCATATTCCTTTGAACACATTAGTGCTATTTTTTGCATGTCTTTCAACTTTAAAGCAGTCTTTTCTCATAAGAAATCTCTGTATTTTTATAATATTATATAGTATGATATTTCATTATTATGAGTAGTAATTATTAATTATTTATGTTATTAATAATGATATTACAGTAGTCATCTAAAAATTAATTCTGGCTCAAAGAGATATCTTATTCTCAGCCCTGCTAAAACTCATAACACTTACAAAATTTCACATGTTGGATTGAATATTTCTCAGCAATTCTGAGGAATTATGTATTTCTGCCCCCAGTATTGCTGCTTTAAAGGACAGCATCTTATGACAGAAACATGTGTGGGGACAAGGACAGGAGTAGGAGAGAGCTCAAAGCTAGAAGAGGAGAAATAGAGCCATGAGGTTGCCTTATCAAATGGACTGACACACTGGGATGTGGCAGGACAGATGGCAGGAAAGTAGCTTGCTCCCTTGATTCCGGTAACGCAGTGATGGTTTGCAATAGAAGAAAGTAGAGTGTGAAACCTTCCTAGCTGTGACTCAGGGAAAATGATGGTCATTGTATATAAAACAAAGAATATTTTGTAAGGCATATCATAACCACTAGACGTTTTTGAAGTCACTGCTGAAATATTTATGCAAATCATAATACCAATTTCCATGACAGATGACCTCTCTATGTATTGAGGAGATTTTTCCCTAATACCAAAGTGATGATTTCTCTTTTTTAGAAACAAGCACAAGCCATTCCTCCTCTTTCTTTCCTTTTTACACTCCCACACTCCTCTCCTCACCACAGAGAAGTTTCTTGGGAAGAGCAGGCATGGTTTATATGGAGACAATGTAGAGGAGATGGACTGGATGGTGGGTAAGTTGCCATAGCAAACAGCAATGCCTCTAGCTGTCTAACATCTGGATCCAAATGAATAATAGAAAAGGCAGTTATTGTTAAAAGAACAAGGAAGAGAAATAAAAGCAAGGCAGGAAAGAGGACTAAGCTTGTCACGAATATCCATCATTGTATGAGCACTGTTAGCCTATACTTTTGGCGTTTTCTTTCTCTGGTGTTGGGCCAAATGAGTTTTTCTGTTCATTCATTTTTTTTGTGGTCTAGTGTTTACTAAGTTTTAACCACGTCGTCTGGCTCCTGTCAAAGCTGCTCTTCTTTCTAAACACAATATGGACTGGGAACTATTTAGCTTTCCATGATTATTCAAGATCAGGTAATTTCAGCTTCTGATGACTGTGTCTTATCTAAGTAGGATATATCAGAAGGGAATAAAACTGATGATAAGCAAAATAATTCTGGATGTAAACCAGAAGGTGTTTGTCTGTCAATGCTATATTCAATAGAATACTGAATACTTTCCAGTTCATTCACAATTCCTGGAAATATTCATAACTATTAATCAATGTGCCTCCAGAAATGAGATTCATTATTTCGTTATTTTTTTATTTTTCAGTCTTTTTTATTTTTTTTTCCTGAAGGGGAAGGAAGGTCATGTCATCCAGTCATGGAGAATGAAGAGTAGCTAACTTTACAAAAGGAATAAGAATCAGGTCCATATCATGTCCGTGAGTGAGGTTCTTGCACTATTCTCTTATAATGCCAACAGTTAAGGAGATATAGCACCTCACAAATTTTCCATGCATTTATAGTCTCTGAAATTACAGGTATAAATCTTGATGCTGCAAAATATTGCATTTAAACACCAAGCAGTCCTATGTAGGTTGGCTTACACAAGAAACTATATTGACGAATGTTTGCAAGTCAGATGTTAAAAGTTCTGCAAGTTTTTGCTTTTTAATACTCATGCATTCCTGTGATTACAGGCCAAGTTCTAGAAGCACTTGAGAAGGAAGGCTTGAAAAATACTACACTAGTTTACTTTACTTCTGATCATGGTGGATGGCTGGAAAGGCAAGAAGGAAAAAGGCAGCTGGGTGGCTGGAATGGAATATACAGAGGTAAGAACAATGAGGCGACAGGGACAACCCAGGAACAGCTAATTAAGTACTCAGGATGCCTCTAAAGCTTAGATAAGACTGAATGCTCAAGGACTAATAGTGTTTTATAATTTAGAAGGGAATTTATATTATCCTAATTCTGCATTCAAAAATCTAGATATTCTAGATGTTCTTTTTAATCATGCATTCTCAAACTGCCACTTCATTATGAGGCAACTGTTGGCAAGGTAATGTGTAACTTCCTGTGCAATAATTTTATCTGCACATTATATGTGAACTCTTTCAGGTAGGTTATTTGATTGTAAAAAAGAGAGAACTATCTGGGAAATCATTTCATATCTGAAATTGTTATCCATACCCAGTTCTAATGGGACAACACTTTTGTCTGTAAACCAGCAAAAGGGAATAAGTGGGTGAGGCCATGTGAGGGCTCTAATGGAGTGAATATAATATTACTGATACTGAGAAGAATGAGCTTCAAGATTAATACCAAACAGGTAAGGAAGGCTAACAGATAACATTAGTCAGTTTATGTCAATGTAGTTTCTATGGACTAGAATTTCTCTTAATTTTTAATGAAAAGTTGATTTTAATGAAAACTTGTTTTTTTTAATGAAAGGTGGAAAAGCTATGGGAGGCTGGGAAGGAGGAATCCGTGTCCCAGGGATATTTAGATGGCCAGGAATGTTACCTGCAAACACAGTTATTGATGAACCTACAAGCCTTATGGACATATATCCTACAGTAGTGCATCTGGCTGGAGGGGCAGTACCCCAGGACAGGTACAAACACTGTAACACTATCTTTACTCCTCTTTACTCCTTTACTCTTTTTTTTTTTTCCTAGATGATGAAAAATGTATTTTGGAAACATGATTTTAAAAAAAAAAAAAAAGGCTCAGTAACTTCTTTTCCACTCCTGCCATTTTTCTAAATCTATAAATATCCCCATAGCTTATTTTCCTTTTTTACATTTGAGAGTCAGCATCTACTCATAAATCTTCCTTGTTCAGTGCTGCCACTTCCAACAGAAGGTGTGCATAAAGAATGCAGTAAAGTACAGTCTGGTGAATTCCGTTTTCTCTGTTAGGGTAATTGATGGCCGGGACCTGATGCCTTTGCTGCAAGGAACAGTTCAGCACTCTGAGCATGAATTCCTGTTTCACTACTGCGGTGTTCACCTACACGCAGTGCGGTGGCACCAGAAGGACAGTGAGTACTGAAATCCTTTCCCAAGAACCAGGTTCAACCTATAGCAACTAGATTTGCCTGCCATGGTTATTCTGGGATTGCAGCTTTCCAAGTAGGCTTAAGGTGATAAAGAACTCATTATCCTTTCCTATAATTACATGAGAGAAAGAATTTCCTTAAAGGCCCGTGGCACAAGGTCTAAGGTCTATCATGTTACTTGGGATATTGGGCCTTAAAAGAAGAATTCCGCCGGCTGACAGGTTTTCCCTCCTTATCATGCACACTCCAGTTCTCACGCTCCTCTGAATGCAAGGCCTGGGGAGTCCAGGTCATCCTTGCCTGATGGAGAAGTCCTTGCCTCAGTCCCTTGTGAGAACTGAAGATGTCCTTCTGTACTCAAATAAGGAAAATGCAAAACATTTTTCCATAAGGGAAAAAAAAAAAAAAACTGACGCTGGAAACTTTGGAGAAGGAGAAAAATAGGACAGAAATCTCATTTTTTTTTGTAATATTTAATTTTGAATGAAAATACTCTAGAAACTAGCAAGTCAAAATGCAGCCCTCCTCCCAAAAATGAATCTAGAAAAACATTTGATACTGTAGTGCTTGTGATAACCACCAGTATCTTTGCAAACCTTGCTTCTTTCCTGCCAGGTGGAGCCATCTGGAAGGCTCATTTTGTGACCCCAGTCTTCCATCCACCTGGGGCTGGAGCTTGTTATGACAGAGGAGTTTGCCCGTGCTTTGGGGAAGGTGTGACCCACCACGACCCTCCGCTGCTGTTTGACCTCTCACGAGACCCTTCTGAGGCCAAACCGCTAACAGCCGAGACTGAGCCCTTCTTTGACATTGTTCTAAAGAAGATTGGAAGAGCCGTTGAAGAGCATCGCAGGACACTGACTCCAGTCCCAGAGCAGCTCTCCTTCTACAACAGTATGTGGAAGCCGTGGCTGCAGCCCTGCTGTGGGACATTCCCCTTCTGTTGGTGTGATAAGGAAGGCAATTTGAAACTCGCTGATCTATAAAAGAATGAAATATTAATTCCGCAGAAGTGCTTTTTGATTGAGATTGATTTATGGTGGTGTTGGTGATTTTTTATTTTTATTTTTAAATGGGTCTTATATTTGGGAATTTTTCCATTGGATGGCAGTATGGTAGAAGAAGACACTATATTCTCAATGGCATGTTTAAAGTTCTATCTGATGACAACTGAATGAATAATTCAAGTGCACTAAAATAGGCTAACATCAGATTTGCACCAGTAACAAAGACAAGTAAAATAACTTATCGTCTGCTGTTTGTAAATGTAACATAGAAGCTTTGCTTTGGCTTACGCTCCAAATTTCTAAGTCATTCCACTGCAGTCTCCCTTAATTTTGTCTTTATTGGCGATGTATAAGAAAGACACCCCCTGTAGATACTTTTTGCACACTGCCTTTCCTCTGGCTCCAAAATAATTCTTCCTATAGTTATACACAGGATCTCCAGATTTCCTTTAAGGGTAACTTCATTCCTTCTCAGCAGTGATGACGGCAGCTGGTAAGCCTGGGGCTTCTGGATCAGGAGCAAGTGCCTGAGCAAGGCAATTGCCCTGGAAATCTGGTAAGTCAGATAACATCTGTCAGCCCATCCTGAGAAGGACGAGGTTCCCCTCCGCCAGCCTCTTCTAATGCAAAACAAAAGCGGGAAAGGACTTTTGCTTTCCAAAACTACCACTGCACGCAGCTCTTCCCTGAGCAGCACTAGGAAGGGCATAGTGACATTGTGCTCTGCAGTGTTGCAGAAATGCAAAACTGATAAACAGATCGGTTGTTTTGGCACAAAATTACAACAAGTTCTCTCGCTGCCAGTATCCCAATTATAACTGGTTCTTGCTAGCAAGGGAATCTTTTGGTTCTAGCTAGCTGAACCTTTTGGTTTAGACGAGAGTATTTGAAAAAAAGTCTAGTTATAATTGTGAAAGATAACAAACTTTAATTCACTATCAAAAAAGAAAAGCAGAATAAAGACATTTTGGCATCAGGTTTTATTCTCCCACTTCCCCTGCCTTCCCTCCCTCCCCACCCCAAATTCCATCCTTCTGCAAGTAAAGGAGTTCTGCAAGTAAATAAATTTCTGCAGTTTAAAAGCACAGTTATATTGTAGACTGGTCTCATGCATCTCACAGACTGTTATAATTCATTCACTCAGTCGCTCTTTCATTGTTATCAATAAGAAAGGCCCTCAATTTTACTTCCACTGATGAAGTGAATCCATCACAACATTGGGCATTGGACTGCTGCTTATTTTTCTGCAATGTTAAGACTGAGTGCTTTATTTCTCCTTTGAATTCGAGTGCATTGATTCTTTATTGGCAAGGTTTAAAGATCTTTCCATATCTAATATCCAGTAGTCTTTTTTTAACATATAATTAATGTAATAAACTGAATATTTTTCTGTTCCCCTCAGTCATTTTCCAAGAGCTTCCATTCTCAAGTCAGTTTATTATCTGGAATTGTACATCATCTCAAGTTTTCAACACCTTTTAAAATATGTGGGTGTATGACCTGTCCATAATATTGCTCCAATTGGTGTTTCACAATACTGTGTTGAAAAATAATTTTCAATCTTTCTCCACTTCATCTTTATGTGATTGAACTAGCCTTTTTTTTCTAAAAAAAAAAAAAAAAAAAGATTATCACATCTCATTGGGAAAACATCTGAGCTACAATCTATCCCTGCCATTGGGGTCTGCTCATGAAACTATAGTTATCAGCCCTGCTGTTGCAGAAAGTGCCATGGGATCAACATATAGTCAGAGCCAGTAACTGGACATTTTACATGCCATAGGCATTAATAAAGACTGGCTTCACAAAATCATACCATGTTTCTTCTCCTTTGTGGTAGTCAGTCATGTACTTACAACACACTGTCTTTCCTCTTGCTGTCACGGTCCAGTAGTGGTAGCTGGACTAGCTACCAACTGTTCCAGGCATGGGGAAGCTGACTGAGTATAACAGCATAATCATAACCAAATACAAAACTAGAAGCTAATGATAATGAGTAGCGCAATGAAGGGGTGTAACCACATGTGTAACAGGCCATTTCTAGTCATTGCTCATCTTCCAGAGGTATCAAACCGCCAGAAAGTTTTATAGGGTAATTTTATTATCACTTGTTTGCTAGTCATATTAATTCCTCCGTCTCTTGCAGAAACGGACAAAATGATTTTTCGAGGAAACTCACATAATGCTGATAAAATCTCTGTAAAAAACAAAGGTCTCTTACCATTATTCATTCTCTTTATTACTGCAGTTCTTTGGGTATGTGGAGAGATTCTCATTCTTTCATAAAGCAGGAGGTTTAAAGGACGCATACGCTATAGCTGATGCTTTTTCGCAGCTGGAAGCCCACTAATCTCCTGTAACATTTCATTTTTCCTTACAAATGCTTTGTTCTGTATCTGTTTGTTGATGACAGACACTCATTTATGCAAGAAATTTAAATGGTATTTTTTTTAACATTGAGAACTGTGAAATGTTTTGAAACAGGAAGGCTTTTAAGAGCTTTCTCATTTGTTGTCAGTGTCATAAGTTTAACAAAAGTGCTATTTACCACACAGAAACTTTGGACAAATGATGGAAACAAACCATGAAATTTCTGATTTAGGAGTGTTTGAATGACATTAGTAGCAGCTTATGTCTCTAATGTATTTAGAAAGCATCATACAGCATCATACATAGTATGAAATTATGTATGTCTATAAAATATTTAGAAAGCATCATACAGAGGGTATTAAAATAGTATGAAATTATGTATGTCTATAAAACCTATTTTAGTCCAGTTATTAGAGAATCTTGCAGGCAGAGAGGATAAATACAGACCTCCATAAAAGATTATTTACTTGGTGCCTGGTAGGCTACATATCTGATTGTCTACACTTCACAAAACTGCTTTTTCCTCTTGAGGGGAATCTGCTGCCTCAGGTGCGCTCTTCAGCCATTCTACAGTACCATTAATACACATAAAATGCTGTCAGGTAGCGTGCCAAATCCTAATTAAACATTTATTTTGAGAAATTTGAAATGAGAGGAGCCATACTTCCCTGATGAACTTGGCATTGCATTGTTATGGGATGAAAATCATCATGTAAGGGTCCTCTTAGCATAATGTGGGAGTGAGTGTTTAATGTAACTCTATTTGGGTCTAAATATTTTACATGCATTAAATCTTGGCTGGCTCCAGCATCAGATTCAGAATGACACAGGTTTCCCCACGTTTCCTGCATCATGCCTCTCAACCCCCAAACTCTCAGATGGCACTGGAAGCTTATGTTTAGGAAACTACATCGCACACTCCAATATTTTCCAATGTTCCCTTTCTTGTCAATGGAGAGAACGGGTCACTTTGAGGTCATAATTCAGCTCAAGCTAATTCTGAGCTCATTTTTTTTTGTTTACAATACAATTATTGGTTTAATGAAATACTCCATATTTATTTTCATAGTAGAATAGAAATCACACCAGATTTTTTGTTGTTGTAGGTTTTTGTTGTTTTAGGAAAATGGTCAGACATTATTTTCAAAAACTAAGAGTAACAATCTATTGAAAGATATCTTAAGATTTCTTTTCAAACAAGATATTCTGAGGAATTCTGATGTGGTCTTACAAACAGTTCTGTTTGTTAGACCCCAAATTATATTTTTAGTTTAAAAACCAAAGAAAGTGCATCAAAATAATCCCCCTTGAAGGTGAGTATAATCAAGATCCATTTTCTCATACATTTGGCACTAGCCCAGAAGTCCCTGGGAAAGTTTACCAGCTGTCCAAGAAGTATGTGATTAAAGCGGGTGCTTCCTCATGGTAGACTTTTTCACTTACAGTGAATGTACCATCTCCTGTCCTTATTTCTTTCTTTGCTGTTCTTAACTTCTTCCTGCCAGCAATTTGTTTGAAAGACTTTTCTTCAGAGCTGCATTTAGCTTCAGGTATTCCCCATCTTTTCTGCTTACCAGGTATCTGCTGTAGTAGTGAGAACTGTAGTTTCTCAAGACTGAGCTAGTGTTTTGGTGTTCTTTTCTGTGTTGAGACAGCATTGAAATTTATTTTGTAAATAAAAAGAATAGTTAATAGCTTCTAACATATTATGGTCTGGGCTTTGAAGTTATCCCATTTTGTCACCACTGCTCTTCATTTTCAACTTTTGTAAAGTCTATTTAAATCAGAGAGAACTACATATTTCAGGGGGTCTGGGATTAGAATTTTTACATATTGTTATTTTATTTTTTATTGCCACACCTGATTGATACGAAAATGAAAATAAGAAAAAGGCTATTCCCCTTTGTTTTACAGGATTCTGAGATATAAAACTTAGAAAGTGCATAGCAATTAACATTACTGCCTCAGGCTCTTTCTCCCCTCTGGATAAAAATTAGTACAGCTGAATTCTGGCTTCTCTCTTCTCTTTGAGGACAGACTTTTTGCTCTTCAGCAGAGGAGTCCCCAAAGACAGACCAAAGCCTTACCCCCAGCTTTCTCAGCCTCTGAGGCACTTCAGAGGACATCTACAACCCCACAGGCAGCCCCAGGCAGCTACTGATTTACCAAGGTGCAGCTGGCTTAGTTATACAGCCGATGCTATGAACAGCACAGCTGAACACACTGAGGTCGTCAGAAAGACAACTTAAAGCCATTCTCCACACAACATACATGTTTGGTACTGTGCCTCTTCATGGGTACAAGTCAATAAATACATCTCTTAAGAAGTTTGGTGGGTCAACTCTCCTCTCCAAAAAAAGAGTATAATTCCAAAGAAAAATAGCTTCCTTTGAATTGTCAAAAAAAGACTTTCCTGGGCAATTTATATCATTTGACTTAAAAGTCACAGTATATTATTCAAAACCAAGATTCCCTGCTGAGTTATAACTTCTATATGCCAGTGGTATAAGCCAATTCTCACAGTTTGTCATTTTTTCTACTATAAAGCAGAAGCCAAAAACATGTTCAGCTATTAAGCTATGGACACAACAGGAGGAAATCTCTGGCTG